CACTATAGCTGGATTAGATCTGAACAGTTTTTATTAAAAGAAAAATATGGCGGTATTGCTGGAGTATACTATATACCCCTCTGCACGACTTGTGTAAGTAGTTCTTTTCTAAAGGCTCACTCACACCATCGTGCAGAGATGTCAGTTTTCCTGCACTTGTTCTGCAAGGGCATAACAAAAGCAATTATTCTCTATATGCCCTGTTCACACCACAGCACTAGTATAACATGCAGATTTTTTTTCTGTGCAGATATCTGCAACGTATATAAAAACTCATAGAAACGTGCATGAAAACTGATTTAAACTGAGGTCTATACAAGTGAAATCTGCGTATCAGTTTCCATCGGTTATTCTGCATGCATGGTGTGAACGAGGCCTAAAAGTTTACCTGATTCTATCTGTGCTGGGAGAGTGGCATCTATCCAGAGTGCATCTGGCTAATGTGGATTGAGAATAAATTATTACAATTTATTAGTCATAGGTGGTTGTAATGCTGAGAGAGCAACTACGACCTAATTTACAATTGTGCATGGTTGGGGTTGGGGGTAGTAAAGACCAGCAGTTAAGCTATGGTTTTACCAACCCTATGCCACAACCATGATGCTCTGCTTCTCTGCTGTGGCAAGAATTATACCCCCCATTGCATTTAGCAGGCAGTATCGCTGCCAAACGCAATCTCTACAAGTATATGGGCTACGTAGCAACCACAATGGAATTTACAGGATTAAAACAGGCAGTGCAGAAACGACGTTTCTCTTCCCAGTCACCTTTCAAACACCCTCTGAAAATCCATTGTGGGCCCTAAGGCTCTCTGCAAGTGCCAGCTAATACATTCTGGTGCTAGAATCTGCACAAATTACTCCATATGTCTTATTGGTCTTATTTACCTCCACCCTCCTTACCTCTGAAATTCTTCTAAATTTGTTGCAGCAATTGTGACAAAGTGAACTGTTGCAGTTAAAGCAGAACTTCACCCTAAAAGGAAAGTTACACTTTTTCTTTTTGGGGAGCAGGTCCCTATTTCTGGTAGGTACTCTGCCCACAACCTCCAGGGACACACCACAGGAGGCTGCTGGTCCATTTACAAAGTGCAGTTTGACTCACACATGCACAGTGGGAGACTGTAAAACCACAAGGAATCACAACTGGGTTTCCACATGCAAGATGGCAACACTGGGGACCCAAAGACTGGCAAAGAACTGGCTCAGGTAAGTGTCCTTTTATTATAGGTCAGCAGCTACAGTATTTGTAGCTGTTTTTGTTTTTAACTAACTGAAGATCCTCTTTGGGAACTTTTTCTTGTTGCACGCTTTGGATACAGGTCTCAGATTTATTATTTTATGAATTTGGCAAGCTTTCCATATACATTAATAATGCCAAAATTCTGTTTCAATGTCTATATTGAGCCTCTCACGGTACATCCCCTTTAAACTATTTCCCAGCATGTTAGCAAAAAGACTACAGCTGTTACTTCTCAATACCCCTAGATCCTTTGGGGTTTAGGCTTCCAAAACTATTAAAAAGGAAACTACTATAATGGTTTAGTGCTGGTTCATACTGGAATCACACAGGAACGCGCTCCACATTCCTGTGTGATTCAGTGCAATGCAATTTCCATGATGATGCTTGATGTCACGCTTGATGCTGACTCATCACAAGTTTTAACATGAGCCCCCTAAAATTTCCAACCTGTATTGTCAACCACTACATGATTGCATAGATTTGTTCAGTAATTAAGTAAGAACAAACTCATTCACTTTGCCTCTATAATGACAATCAGTTGTTGATACAGCCATTCTCCGTTCACAGGATGCCTGATCTTGTACTGTATCTGTTGTGGGGGGTTGGGGTAGTGTTCTGTAAGCAATTAAATATTTGGGTTTGAAAAGACATTTGGTGCACACAACATGTATTTATATCCTTTGTGGTTAAGTTTTCTGTGCCTTCTGCAAGTTCAGTTTTAGCCCTTTTGCTACCAGAGCCAGTTTTTGCGTTTTTTTGCACACATTTAAAAAGAAAAAAATAATTTTATGCCTGAAGATTACACAAAAACCCCAAACATTATATATTTTCTGAAAGCAGACACGCTAGAGAATAAATTCATGGTAGTTCTAATTTCGTATGTCACACGCTATTGCTGCAAACGTCTAGGAAACACAAAATTTCTGTAAAAAACACACTAAAGTGAATTTTAGGGCAAACAAGCACAATAAATCATCCACATTTTTTGAAAAATATAAATAGATACCCATCATGTCAAACCTTAAGTTTGTTGGTGCCTATGAAATGGTGACAAACTTCAGTACCCTATATATTCTATAGGAGACGCTTCAAAAGCACCTACAGGTCATCATTTTAGTGTTATGGAGGAGGTCTTGTGCTCAAGTTATTGCTCTAACTCCGGCGTGTGCAGCGATATGTGACATGGGGGGATAGAGAGGGCACCGTTACCGGGGGCTGTGGAAGGAATCAGGTGGCATTGTAGCCACCCGACTGCATCCACCTGACACTTGTAAGAGAATCTGTGCTTTTAACATGCATGGCAGAGCAACAGGTTCACATTATGTTGCCCTCAGCAGCATGTTATATTTTTTTCTTCCCTCCCTGGCATTCGATTTCAGGAGACCAGGCCCTGTCTAAATACTGTTTTAAGATTTTATTCAGAACTTACATAGGGCTGATCACTCTCTACCAACCCTTTGTGATAGTACTGGTGCCTGAAGTTCCAATTGCTAGACACCAAAGCTGTCACATGGGAGGAAAGGGGAGAGAGTTACATTATCAACTATATCCAGATTTACTGGATAATTCTCTTTTCATCTCAATGGATTTTTAGGGAGTAAATGGAAGGTGCAGGGAGGAAAGAGGGGCACTTGAGTCAACCTCCAGATTCATAATAAAAGGTCTAGTCCATCCCAAACTGGAGCTAGCACCTTGGCAGACTAATTGGCACCCATATCTTGCAATGCCCACATGGGGCAAATAAAGAAGAAATTCTACACTCTGTAGAAATATAGACATTTATTTAAATATACAGACAGAACTATGTGCATATTCATCCAATGTATTGTGATATTGCATTCAGTATCCTATAATTCCAGGCTGGAGCCTAAATTATGGCTCTGAAAAACCAGTTTAAAAGACAGCAACTTTGAGTCTGTGACATCTTAGTTAAAATCTTTTTTTCCTTTGGACAGTATTTACAAATACCTTCTAAAGTATTTATTACTTTTTACATTAAAATACAAATTTAAGATCAACTAAGCAAGTTATTTCTGTCCAGCACTTCCAGCATGCTTCTCCCACCTCTTATGCTTGGAGATTTGGCAACCCCTGGAGAGAAACAGGTTAGCAAACACAAACAGGATGAAAAGGAAAATCTATCTGGACACAATACAAGACGAAGACAATCAGCAGGAGATCTGTAAACGTACTGCTACACCAAATAAACGTCTTTTTAAAATCAATTGGAATAAAACAAGATTTTTTTTTTTTTCTTTACTCACTGTAAAATCCCTTTCTCTGAGCTCATTGACAGACACAGCTCTTCATATTCTCAACCAAAGGGTTATAGCACCACCTACAGGAGTAGTGTGCTACTTCTGTAGGTGGTGCTATAACCCTATGGTCAAGAATATGAAGAGCTGTATCCATCAATGGACAAAAGAGAAAATATGGTTTTGCTTAAAATAAAATATCCTTGGCAGATTTGTATTAAAATGTGTAAAATCAATACAAGAGAAATGAAATGTATATCTTCCTATTTTGTCAGTAAAATCCTCCTGAACTCTTGTGTGAAACGCTGTGAATAGTATCCAGGTGCAGTAGAACATTTGCTTTTTGCAGTCCTACCATTTGTTTAGCTAGTAAAGCTACAGCCATAGTAAAATATCCTATCAATCTGCAGGGAAAGACCACTGCTTTCTGTTGTGTCCAATCCACCCACTGTTAGAGTTAAAGCTCTCCATTCAGCAGGGAGTGTGAGCATTACTTAGTGGAGAGCTCTAGCTTAGACTGCTGCAGAGGGGTCACTGCTTCCACACACAGAACAGCAGTCCTTCTCTGCAGCATGAAGGCAGTAGCCAAGCTGTTTAACTTTCGGCGTTCCTTCTTTACCAGCTAAATAAATAGCAATACTGTCTGTGATTACTATTCAATTTACAACATTTTATTGGAGAGTTCAATTGGGTTTTAAAGGAAACTTGATCTGACTGCCTACTAAAAATGCAAGTTGCCTGGCTGTCCCCATCTTCAATACTTTCTGAGTCACACACCTGGAACAAGGATACTCATCAGGAAAGTCATCAGAATGTACAGAAGCCACTGTGTCAGAATGACATTTGCAACTTAGAGGTCAGAAATAGCAGTACAGTACAAGTTTGCTTTATATTTCAATAGCCTTCATACGTGCAAGACGTGAACAAAATAAATATATCAGTCTATGTGGCTTGTAGCAACCAATGATACTCAAGCTGTCTTTTTTAATATTTTTACTGAAACAAAAGATGTATATGTGTGTATAATACACACACCTTATTGGTTGTGATGGACAACACCGCCACTTTCCAAAAAGACCCAATAGATTACATTAATAAAATGAGAGGATATCAGCAGTGGAAGAATTTGCCCATAACAACTAATCAGATGTTGACTGAATTTTTGTATAAACTGCAGTAGAGAAAGGAATGTAGATAACTGGTTGCTACAGGCAACGCAGACTTCTTCTTCCAGTTTCATGCATGAAGCCACAGTTTGTAATCATTTACCACAAGGCAGACATAGAAAACATAATCTGATGATAGAAAAGTACATTTTAAAACAGGTCAATGTAGTATATCTACTATATGCGCTTCTTGGGGAAAGTAACTTTGGAAAGATAATTTGCATAACTTGTACCTATAAAATCTCAAACACATTGCATACCTAAAATGTTTTAAAAATTAAAGTTTGCCAGTCAACAGGTCCCTTAATAATTAAAAACAAATGCTAATTAAAAATTTCTAGATGTCTTTAAAAGTCACAATAATTTCCATTGTCTTTTCTTTGTCAGTCAGGCTCTCCCGAAAAAGCTGTGTATGTTGCCATGCACCATTTCCCTCTCCGCCATATAATTCAGCTTCCAACACAACTTCTGATGCATTTAAAAACTCTGGGTAAGAATAGAGGTTTTTATCTGAGGGAAAAAAAAAAAATATTAAAACTGTCATATAGCTGATTAAGAAATTATGAAGATTAAGCTAGGCATCCACAATGAACACTCTTTAAACTGTATTTGTTTTGCTGCCTCTCATAGAGGTTTTAGTAGTGCAGTTTCCAGACAGACTTCACTAAAGAATCTATATAAACAAAATCAGCACAGACCTAGTACATATAACCTACCAATATGCAAGCTGTACACCACAAGGCTAATTTCACAACACCTCCAAAAATGACACAAACAACAAAAAAGTGCAGTGCAATATTAAATGATAAATATATATATATATATACAGATAAAAATATTAATAAAAAAGTCCAAACAGCCCATAGGTAGACAAAAGCCACTGGTGATAATAATCCGATGAATATGGACAGCCCACACAGAATGGAACGTGAAGAATCATGAATCATATAGTGGACTCCTTCTTGTGGGAAGAGAGATAGATCCCATCACCCAGAAAAAAAGCACTCTAGGCCTCTCACCTTATATACATGACCCCTGAACTAACAGGTAGGTCATACAGCACTTTCCCATGCGGGTAACTGATTTCCAGAGGCACCAATACCAGTCCAGGCAGGCAGATTGTCCGATATGCAATAAAACCAAATAAAAGCAAAAAACAGAAGAAATAGTGCTCTCTGCTAGGTTTAAAAATTTTAAATTAAAATAAAAAATCTCACTTACAATAATAGCACTTGCATCCAAGTGAAAGTAACAGTGCCAGTGTAAAACCAACATCCACAGCAGAATGAGATGGCTGCGCGTGACGTCAGCAAGCGCGACTCCTCCTCCTGTATGCCTTACGTCCTGGGTGGGACTTTGTCAGCGGGGATAGAGCTACACTTACACCCACATTTACATATACCTATCGCTGCCGCCATGGAAACCAGGATGCCAGAAATAAGTATAGAAATAATCCAACTTGGTTATTCAAAGATTTTCTCTAGCGGCAGAAACTGCTCAACAGAGAACAATTAAAAATGATATATCATTAAAATCTTGCCACAAAACCGGAAACCAGAAGTAGCATTAGGTGACCCCCAGGAAGCCAAAAATAGATAACTTTATCCATGGGGAATAAATTTAAAACTCATAAAAAAAATTATATATATATTAATAATAATAAGCCGATGAATATGGACAGCCCACACACAGAATGGAATATGTATATATATATATATATATATATATATATATATAAAATTATATTTTCCGCAGCCATCTCTTACAATAACTGATAGCAAAAAGACGTGCACAACAATAACCATTAACGGTCTGAAATAAAACAATTTAAATAAAATTCAACATTTAAGCCAGTGGGAGCGAGAACATTAATTTCATATATCCAGAATGATTCTCTAAGGCTTAATTGTCTAATGAAATTTCCTCCACTTCAGTGTTCATTAACTTTCTCAATACCTCAAAATCTCAAGCTTCTAGGATCTCTATAATAACATTGCCTGACATGTTTAGAAACACTGTGTTTTGAGACCTTTCTTAATATTGTTAACATGTTCTCCTAATCTAATATGCAATGATCTCGATGTCCTCCTTATATATTGCCACAATCACATTCCAGCATATAAACTACTCCCTGTGTGCTACATGTAATCAAATCGTGTATTTTGTAATTCTTTCCTGTGACCGTGGATACAAATTCCTTTCATTTTTTATTATTTTTAGAATGTTTGCAAGCCGTGCAATGTCCACAGGCATAAAACCCAGGCAAAAAAAGAGAATAACCTATTCTGTTTATGTACAGGGGGGATATTGACCACCCCTGGTTCTATAATATTTCTGAACCACTTGCTGACCGCAGATAGTCGAATGACGGCTTCACTGCGGCCGGCCAGTTCTGGGAGGGCATCATACGACGTCCTCCCAGAACGCACTCTCCCACGCGCCCCCGGGGGCGTGCACCTGGCGATTTCCGTGATCAGCTGTGTCCAATGACACACCAGATCATCAGCGTGAGGAAAGTACTGCCGATAGCCGGCAATTGTCAAAGAGGGATCTGCACTGATGATCAGTGCCCTGATGATCGGTGCCCAGCAGTGCCACCCACCTGTGACCAGCAGTGCCACCCATCAGTGCTGCCAGTGCCCAGCAATGCCACCAGTCAGTGCCACTCATCAGGGCCGCCTATCAGTGCCCATCATTGTTGCATATCAGTGCCCATCATTGTTGCATATCAGTGCCAGCTCATCAGTGCTGCCTATCAATGCAACCTCATCAACGCACATCACTGAAGGAGAAAAATTACCTGTTTGCAAAATTTTATAATAGAAACAAAGAAAAAAAAATTTTTTTTTCCAAAATTTTTGCTCCTTTTTTGTTTATAGCACAAAAAATAAAAAACACCTAGCGGTGATTACATACCACCAAAAGAAAGCTCTATTTGTGTGAAAAAAATTATGTTTTCATATGGGTACAATGTTGCATGACCGCGCAATTGTCACTCAAAGTGCAACAGCGCTGAAAGCTGAAGATTGGCCTTGGCAGGAAGGGGGTATAAGTACCTGGTAGGCAAGTGGTTAAAGAAGGGGCCTTCCTATAAATAAACTGAGGACGTGTAGGAAGGACAGGGCCCAACACTACCTTTTTCAATATACCCCAATGCTTAGTAACACTCTTCTCCAATTTTTTATATTGTACATTATCTAAAATAATATTGAACTCACTGGAGACCGTACTTCTAGATATTTGGGAATTGGAGACTACAAGACTCCTATCCATAGCCCTGACCCCATCTATCTCATTATCAATAGCTAATTTGGGATAACCCTATTGTTGAAATCTAGTGGCCAAAACCTGGGATTGTGATTAAAAAAAAAAAAATCATCCACCGATGAACAATTACGTCTACGACGTATACACTGGCCCCCTGGAATATTACAAAGCCATGTCCTATGGTGGCAACTATCAAGGGCTATGTAACCATAGTGGGTTTAAAGTAATTTTGTGTCTTGAAGTGACCATTTTCTTTACAGACTTCAAGTTCTAGAAAGACCATTAAATTAGAATCAATATTCCAAGCCAAATATCGATTTTTATTATTACTATTCAATCTATGTATAAATGTTTTCAGACTGGCCATATCACCTTCCCAAATCATATAGAGGTCATCAATGTATCTCTTAAAACATACTAATTGGGTAGGACTGTCACCAAACAGAGCTTCTTCCTGCCAGTGTGCCATAAAAAGGTTAGCAACACTGGGAGCAAACCAAGCACCCATAGATACTCCCCGTACTTTGTAAAAACTATTTCTTGTACAATCAACAATATTTTGTTACAAGACAGAACTCAAAACAATCCAATATATACTTCCTATGTTTCCTGGTCAGATCAGAACTCAAAAGGGCCAAATTAACAGAGGATAAAGAATCCTCATGGATAATAATTGTATATAATGAACTCACATCCGCTTTAACTAACATACTAGACAGAGTGCTCACTTAGAGACTCAAGGACCTATATGATATGCTTAGTATCCTTAAAAAATCTGAAGTGCCTGACACTAAAGGCTGCAGTAAAAAGTCAATATACTGGCCCAAACCGGCCAAAACAGAGTCAATGCCATTGACTATAGGCCTAACAGGGAAGCATTGAATATTTTTGTAAATTTTAGATTAAAAAAAAAAAATATGTAATTGGAGTCCTGCAAGATAAAAAGGGCCTAAGAAAAGGGCTTCTTTATTATTTAAAATCTTTTTCTTCTTACCGGCTATATTCAGCTTATGCAATTCTTATATTGAACTACAGGATTACTTCTCAAAACCTGGAACGTATCTCTATCTCCTAATACACGGTTCATCTCTTCCGTGTAATAGGATTTACTCAAAATTACTAAAATACCACCTTTATCTGCAGGACAGACAACAATATTGTTTTTATTTTCCAGTGCCTTAATTCCTCTTTTGACTGAGATGGGGTCCCTCACCCTTTTGATATTAAGGCCTTCCAAATCACTAACAACCATATTCCTGAAAACCTTAATATGCTTACTATTCACATTAGAAGGATTAAACGTGGACCTATTCCAAAGGTTGGAATGCCTCACCTCACAAGAGGGCTGTGCCCGATTACCTGAGTTAGACAGGAAATATTTTTTAATGTTAAGTGTTCTAACTTCTGGATATTAACCACTTCCATACCGGGCACTTTTACCCCCTTCCTGCCCAGGCCATTTTTCAGGTTTCAGCGCTCTCACACTTTGAATGACAATTGCGCGGTCATACAACATTGTACCCAAACTAAAATTTTATAATTTTCTTCACACAACTAGGAGCTTTCTTTTGGTGGTATTTAATCACCGCTGGGGCTTTAATTTTTTTGCGAAATTAACAAAAAAAAGACCGAAAATTTTGAAAAGAAAAAAAACAAAAAAAAAAAACACGGTTTTCTTTGTTTCTGTTATAAATGTTTGCAAATAAATAATTGTTCTTCATAAATTTAGGCCAAGATGTATTTGGCTACATGTCTTTGGTGAAAATAACCCAAATTAGGATGTATTTTTTAGTTTGTAGGAAAGTTATAGAGTTCACAAACTATGGTATAGATCGGAATATTGATCAATCCTGAAGTACTGACAGCCAATCTAATTTCTTGAGGTCCAAGAATGTCAGAACAGTACAAATATCCCACAAATGACCCCTTTTTGCAAAGTAGACAGTCCGACGTACTTCATAAGAGGAATGGCGAGTTTTTTGAAGTTTAATTTTTTTTTGTAAATTTTTCAGAAAATGAAAAAAATTAAAAAAATGGTCACTATTTTTTTTTTTTTTATACTTACTGTCACCAGTGCAGTACAGCATCATCATATAACTGGCATGGCGGTGATCAGGGACACTGACTGGTGACAGCATGAAAAATATATATTTTTTTATTTTTAATTTTTTATTACATTTGTTTTCTTTTTTTTAAGATTTTTTTTTCATATTTTACTATGACTAAGTAGTACAATATTACCATAGTAACATTGTACTACTTTGGGGAAGTGATCAGTATTTTTTTATTTATTTATTTATTTTACACAATTTGCTTATAGCAAAGAATTACTTTGCTATAAGCAAGCGTTTACCTGAATGACATCGATTCATTCAGGGTTTTTTTTTTTTTTTTTTTTGTGCTTAGCTGCGATTTGGCCACAGCTAATCACATGACATGTGCATGTGATCGCTGTGACCATTCACAGCTAGACACTAGTATACAATGGATGGCATGAATGAAGCCATCCATTGTATACAACTGTCAAGTGACCTGCTGTGATTGGTCACAGCAGGTCCCATGGTACCGGCAACGGGGGCTGGTACTCAGATCTGTGATCGGCCGTGTCCGAGGTACATGGCCGGTGACAGATCACGCCACTGCGCGGCTCTGCAAGTGCGCAAACTGCGCATGCCCAGGAGTACACCATATGGCGTCCACCCAGAAATCTAAAGCATTATTCCGGCCACCAAACAGCTATTGGCTGGGTGGCTAATGGTTAATATAAATCTGAAACTTATTCATATTCTGAATGGGAGCAAATTTGACACCTTTATCATGAACTCGCATTTCATCTTGAGTAAAAGACGTACCACTTAAATTACAGATACCAGTCTTTTTTTGCCTGTATCCTTCTCCCTGCCCTTCTTCCTCTCACTCTTGTTTTTTTCCTTTTGGCCACCTACAACCAGTGTTAAGAGTGGTCCCTCCCCCCTTGGGACTCGTTGTACTCCTAAAAAATCCTTATCGGACATTAGTCCCACATCATGCAATGGGGCAAATCTATTATTTGTGGGAACTTGATTCCCTGAACACTGAAAACCTCCCCTTCTAGAGAAAGATTGGCTAGGGGATCCAAAGGGTCCTCTTCCCAACAGGGAGGCCCATGATATATATTCCCCTGATGGGGAGGCCTATGGGGGGGCGAACTTGGGACCTCATATGACCATTGTTCCCATGTATCTGTGCCCTTAGACCCCAAAAAGGGGGGGGGGGGGGCTTATAGATGCCTCCTTTAGGCTTAGTTGAATGTATGCATACCTTTAGTGTACGGATTATGGTTAGGATAAGGGGGAGCATGGAAGGTAACAGGTGTCGGTGAACCTCCCATTGGTATAAATAATATAGGCATATCCTCCTGATTATCAGCAATATTATTCTGCCACTTATGTGGCTCATTTTTGTTGAAATCATCATAATTCCTTATCAGTTTCTTCTTCTTCTTACCCTGTGCATCCTTATCCCATTTAATGAGCTTAGCTTTACACTCCACTGATAATTTAATAAACTCCCGAGTATCCTGAAAACGGCTTAATATGATCTTTAAGGTCTTTTATCTGTGTCTCCAGTGACATCTACCTTTGCTTACGTTTGAGCAAAAAATTCATCAACTCCAATCCCTTCTGATTAAAAAATTCCCACCATTCATTCCAGGACTACTCATCAACTAATCCATCGTTTGGTGGCACATCCCACCTGAGATGTCTGGGCACTAATTTAGAGGGTATGTATTGCTCAAAAGATACAATATCCCACCATACTTTAGTCTATTTCTCAAACAAATGCCCTAGTTTTTTTTAAATGGATAAATTCATCCAGTCTATCCCCAGATTTCCCATCTGAGAAAACCTCACATAATTGGACCTCTCTCTGTTCCAAATATAGAAATAAATCCATGAATGCAGCTGATAGGAGTGAAATAAACAATGAAATGAAAGAATCTATATAAACAAATCAGCACAGACCTAGTACATATAACCTACTAATATGCAAGTTGTACACCACAAGGTATCATAATACTTCCAAAAATAACACAAACAACAAAAAAGTGCAGCGCAATAAAAAATGATAAAGATATACAGATAAAAATATATTAATAAAAAGTCAAAAACAGTTAGGTAGATGAAAGCCACCGGTGATAATTCGATGAATATGGATAGCCCACACACAATGGAACATGTGAAGAATCATGAATCGCATAGAGGACTCCTTCTTGTGGGAAGAGAGATAGATACCATCACCCAAAAAAAGCACTTTAGGTCTTTCACCTTATATACATGACTCCTGAACTAACAGGTAGAGTGCTTTTTCTGAGTGTTGGGATCTCTCTTCCCACAAGGAGACCATTATATGATTCTTCACATGTTCCATTGTGTGTGGGCTGTCCATATTCATCAGATTATCACCGGTGGCTTTTGTCTACAAAAGGACTGTTCGGACTTTTTATTGATATAGTAATATATTTTTATCTGTATATATTTATCATTTATAATTGTGCTGCATGTTTTTGTTGCTTGTGTTAGATTCTTTCACTGCATGGTCAATGTTTCCTTATCTAGCAAGTATTAAAATGGTATGCAGGTTGGATAAATGATTCTTTATCTCTAGCAACTGCAGCTGTCCACAGAGCCATAAAGGAATGATCTGCTTGCATGCAGCTAATAAAAAAGGTAGCGCTCCAGGCAAATATAATCTTGGAATCTAAATCACATATACTGCATGTCCTAGCGAACAATCCAATTAGTTGTGCATTGCACATTGGGTTGTAGGCATCCCAATGTGCACAGTCCCAACACAGCCTTCTCATCTGAATTTGTGTTAACTGATATGTGACTAAAGTTAAAAAGTACTGCAGAAGATTTCATTCTTTAGTCACCTGTTCTCCTTCAGCCTGCTGATTGGGCACTGCAGGGGCAGCAGCACACTGATAGGCTCATTCCTGTTCTCTTTATCCTGAAAGCAGATTTTTTGTGTTAGATTAGCATCATAGCGGAAGAGCTTTAATGGCTGATGCTGCTGACCCTCCCTCTGTGTGTGTTGTGTAACTATTTTGTTTAATGATTACATAACTATAATAACGAATACTGCTACTAGAATGAAGTATTTTTGTCCAGGTTGTGTCACAGATTGTGTTTGAACATATACTGACAAATATTAGATATAGCCACCTTGTCCTTTTTTTTTTTTAACACTTTTGGTAAAAACTGAATATGCAATACCCATCTCCTAACAATTAAGCATTCAACTTTTTCTGTACAAAAGAATCAGAGGAAAATTACCAGGATTAACATCCACGTGTGTTTCTGTAGAATACAGCTTCCAGTTTATTGTACCACTATGGAAAGTCTGGCTGCTAGTCCGGACACTTATACTCTCCACTCTTAGTCCAGATGATGCACACTCAACCTTCCAACCAATTTTGGCTGATGGAGTACCTTCCCTGCGAGCTAAATATACCTGAAAAATATTGAGCATTAAATAACAACTGCTCTATAATGAACAGATTTAAAGGATTTACAACTATACACAATATTTTTGCATTTGAAACCCCATACAATTCTCCCAAATAAGCCTGAGCAGACTAGTGCACCAAATTCAATCAACATGAGGACTTATGTAAAACAAATGGTGACTCCTGGCCAAAAAGGCAACATACTTTAACTCCTTCCTACCTGCAATCTGCATGAAGTCCCATACAGAGTTTATTTTACATTAACCTTTTAAACAATTACCAGCTGACACTTTGATAGACTTGGTCACTATCATTAGTGGCTATGTCAGCTTGGTCCCAGATCTGAAACATGTCAGACCCATCTATTTCTTTGCAGCTAGACTATATATCACCTCCCTTCTCCTGGGGGGGGGGGGGGGTTTGTCTGTATTCCATTGTTCATCAAAAAAGTCAAGCAGGGCTGAAACACTGCTTGGGATTTCAGTGCAACAAAGACCGTGTTGTCAGCTCACTACAGAAATTGTACACTCTGGATTTCTCTGGATAATCAAAAGGGTGTTTTTCTGTACATACATTTGCATGCATTTCAGAGATTTTGGTTTTTTTTTTTTACCTTGCCAAGATGTGTACAGTACAAATACCTCCAAATGACCTCTTTTTTGGAAAGCAGACAGTCCAAGGTATTTAATAAGAGACTTGGTGAGTTTCTAGAAGTTGTCATTTTTTGAAAAATTAAGAAAATAAATAAAATGCACCTTTTTTTACAAAGTTGTCATTTTAAAGTATTTTATTTTTGCACACAAAGCATAAGCATACTTACAATTACATCTCAAAACACATTCTGCTATGCCTTGCAAGTATGGGTATACCACATGTGTGAGAATTTTACATAGCCTAGCTACGTAGAGAGGCCCAAAATCCAAGGAGCACTTTCAGGCTTTCTAGGGGCATACATTACACATCTAAATTCCTGATTACCGATCACATTTTGGACTCTGTGATTGGCATGGTAGTTTTAGAAAACACTGCGATTGACTGCACTGTTATGGCTTGTTCACATGCGAGGTTGGGGGCTGCAAAACTGTTGAGCTGTGGTTTTAATGCCCCCCAACGATTACCCCCTGCAGAGGTAGTGACCCATTCAAGTGCATGGGGGTGCTTGTGCAGGGTTCAAGGGCTTAAAGGCACGCAGTGAAGAGGCGATATGACAAATGTTAATGTGCTCTGAAGAGCGACCTGAACACAGATCGCTCCTTAGAGCACTGCACATGTGAACGAGGCCTTATAGTGACACTAGGACTAGCGTGGTGGTGAATAGGGATAATGAATGGCTGCACTATTGGGGTTCATCACGTGAGGATAAGGGGGCAGTAAAAACCCTGCAGTTGAGCCACGGTTTTAATGCCCCCTAACCGCTACCCTTTTTAGCTGCAGAGGCAGCAGCTGGGGGTGTACATATGGTGTGACTGCAATGCATTCAAGTGAAGTGATCCATTCAAGTGAATGGGGTGTTCCTGCAGGGTTCAAGGGGTTAAGGCAGGTGGTGAGGAGGCAATACAATGCCAACTTAATGCCGGTCAAATGCTCTCTGAAAAGTGATCTGAATGCATATCGCTCTTCAGAGATCCCCTCATGTGAACAAGGCCTTATGATGACACTAGGACTGGTTGCACTGGTGTGGTGACATTGTACTGCTGTGGCAATGATCTGGACAATGGCTGGCTGTCCTGTCTTACAGTGAAATCAGAAATTCCAGCCACCGTATAGGATTATCACCACCACAGCATTACAATGTCATCATACTGTCACTAGAACAGTGCAGTGTCACTATGATGACATTGTACTGTTGTGGCTTTTAATAAGCAACACTGAGTGTTGCACTAGCATAGTGTCATCAGTAGAGCAGTCCGTGTCTCCAATCAGTAGACAGTGACATAGTACTGCTTGTAAAGAAAAGGTGACAAACTGAATGACAGCTCTATTGTATGCAGTGAACACTTACCATTTTCCAGTCATTTTCTACTTTTCTGTACATGGACTCATTTATCCAGGCTCCATTTTCCCAGCCAACAATCACTTCATTCCCATTTGAGACTCGTATGTACTGATCATCCACAATGTTGTACTGCAGATGAAAACGTTTAGCAGCCTTTTCTTTTTCAGTGGGAACAAATGCCACGTTCTTGACCTAGTTACAAGACAAAGAAATCACAGCATTTACAACTTACAAATTGCTGACCGCATCCATCTGAACTTTGAATATACTCATAAGATTTGATGATCCTCAAACTTTTTTGTTGCATCTGTGAAACAATTTATTCCCTTTTTTATATGTCTGTACACCTAACATTTTTTAACAAAATTATCTTCAACCAAAAACTACACCTTGTACGATTCAATTAAATGTTTCTTCTATTTCTTCATCTGTGAGGTCATAAGTGATCCAAACACTGTCCTAGAAACAATGCTTGATCTACATTTAACCACTAGCCTACAGGGCACTTATATCCCCTTCCTGCCCAGGCCAATTTCCAGCTTTCAGCGCTGTTGCACTTTGAATGACAATTGTGCAGTCATGCAACACTGTACCCATATGAAATTTTTATCATTTTTTTGTGACAGATAGAGCTTTATTTTGGTGGTATGTAATCACCTCTGGGTTTTTTATATTTTTTCTTAAACCAAAAACCACTGAAAATTTTGAAAAAAAAAGTTTTAGTTTTTGTTATAAAAGTTTGTAAATAAGTGATTTTTCTCCTTCACTGATGTGCGCTAATGAGGCTTCAGCGATGGGAACTGATAGGCTGCACCGATGGACACTGATAGGTGGCACTGGTAGGTGGCACTGATGGGCATTGACAGGCATCACTGCTGGGCACTGAAAGGCAGCACTCATTTGGCACTGATAGGCGGCACTGACTAGCACTGTTAGGTGGCACTGACTGGTGACACTGAAAGGCAGCTCAGATGGGCGTTCTGTGGCACTGAAATGTGGCACTGATGGGCACTGGCAGGTGGCATGGATGAGCACTGATGGATACTGACAGGTGGCGCTGCTGGGGATACACAGATCATCAGGGCACACTGATCATCAGTGCTCTGATGATCTGTGTACATGTCCCCTCCGAGGAATGCCGATTACCAGCTCTCCTCTCGAGCGGTCAGCGTGACCGGCATTTCCCTGTTTACATGCGATCAGCTGTGATTGGACACAGCTGATCACATGACCAAGCCGTCATCTTCGGCTCTTTCCGTGGATCGGTGATCCGCTGTGTCCGAGGAAAATAGCGTACAGCCGATTGCTGCGCGCTCCGGGAGCCGCGCATGCGCGGTTAGAATGGAAGAACGTCATATGATGTCCTCCCAGAACGAGAGAAACCCCCTTGCGTCCGTCATATTACTATATGGCGGGTGGGAGGCAGTTAAGATACTCAAAAACCAAGATGCTGCGCTTGTGTGGAAAATGCAAAAATTGATCGAATATCAACAAATATAGAAGCTTATTCTACTATGATATATTAACACAGTATAAATACAAATCATAATATATCAAGCATATACAGCGCGTCTTGATATATTATGATACATTTAAGATAAGATAGACTAAACGCTTTTAAAAAAGGTATGCTTTAATTACTTTTTTTTTCCCAAAGGCCAAGTTTGCCTTTATAAAAAATAAAAAAAACATTTTTGCAGAAAAAAAAATGTGCATTTACTATTTTTTCCTGCAGGAACATTAAAGCATTGCACCCACAATCAATAGATGACAGGTGCAATGTAGGCTCCTGCAGATGTGTGTACATCTGTGTACATGCTTTCTGATGAATGCTGGAGGAAATGTCAGTGGGGTTTCTTTGTGATGTGCATTTAGGGAACCAGCTTCAAACAATAGAGCGCTGAGGAACCGGCCACTCACGTAAAACTTCTCAATAGAGGGCTTTACCACCTTTGTTAAAACTAAGTTCATGACATCACATACAGTGAAGGAAATAAGTATTTTATCCCCTGCTGATTTTGAATGTTTGTCCACTCACAAAGAAATGATCAGTCTAAAAAAAAAAAAAAAAAAAAAAAAAAAAAATGAATGGTAGGTGTATTGTAACACAGAGACAGAATAGCAACCAAAAATTCAAAAGAAATGCACGTCTAACAAAGTATGTACTGATTTGCATGTTCATGAGGGAAAAAAGTGTTTGATCCCCTATCATTCAGCAGGATTTTTGGCTACCAGGTGTCTTTCATAAAGGTAACAAGCTGAGATTAGGAGTCTCTTAAAGGGAGTGCTGCTAATCTCATTTTGTTACCTGTAGAAAAGGACACCTGTCCACAAGAGCAATCAGATTCTAAACTCTCCACCATGTCAAAGACCAAAGAGCTGTCCAAGGATGTCAGGGACAAGATTGTAGACCTACACAAGACTACGTCAACAAGGATTGAAATCATGCAGTGCCCGCAAGGTCCCTCTGCTCAGGAAAGCACATGTCCAGGCCCGTCTTAAGTTCTCCCCTGCATCATTCAGATGTTCAGTGGCACACTGGTTGAAAGTGTTGTGATCAGATGAGACCAAAATCGAGCTCTTAAGCATCAACTCAACTCACCGTGTTTGCAGGAGGAGGAATGCTGCCTATGACCCCAAGAACACCATCCCAACTGTTAAACATGGTGGTGGAAGCATTCTGTTTTGGGGGTGTTTTTCTCCTAAGGGAACAGGACAACTGCACAGCATCAAAGGGACGATGGACGAGGCAATGTACTGTCAAATCTTGGGTGAGAACCTTCTTCCGTCAGCCAGGGCATTGAAAATGGGTCGTGGATGGGTGTTCCAGCATGACAATGACCCAAAACACATGGCCAAGGCAACAAAGGAGTGGCTCAAGAAGAAGCATATTAAGGTCCTGGAGTGGCCTAGCCAGTCTCCAGACCTTAATCCAATTGAAAATCTGTGCAGGGAGCTGAAAGTTCAGTTGCCAAACGTCAGCCACCAAACCTTAAAGACTTGGAGAGGATCTGCCAAGAGGAGTGGGCCAAAATCCCTCCTGAGATGTGTGCAAACCTGGTGGCCAACTACAGGAAATGTCTGACCTCTGTGATTGCCAGCAAGGGATTTGCCAGCAAGTACTAAGTCATGTTTTGTGAAGGGGATCAAATACTTATTTCCTTCATGAACATGTAAATCAGTGCATACTTTGTTAGACATGCATTTCTTTTGAATTTGTTGTTGCTATTCTGTCTCTCAGTGTTACAATACACCTACCATTCGATTTTTACATTCATTTCTTTGTGAGTGGGCAAACATTCAAAATCAGCAGGGGATCAAATACTTATTTGCTTCACTGTAGTTTTCCCTCGCTGGGGTTTTTCAGCATTTCTCAGCTACAAAATAAATATTCAAAAAGAAAAAAAGGAGGGTGCCAACTGAGTGTAGCATTAAAAGATATACACTTTATTAACAGCAATTAGCAACTCACACTGTACTGTATAACATTCAGATATCTGGTAGAGCAACTGTTACATGCCCCACTGGTGCACCTTCCCTCTTGTAGCAGTGTAGACAGTGTCCCCAGACACTTCCTAGAATACCACAATAAATCATCTTCTGGCCTCCATGTTTGGGTGATAGAAGCTGTACCCGAGAAGTTCCCCTTGGCAGAGTTTTAAGAAACTCTGTCAGTAGGAGATGTTCTGGATATACACTTTAGACACCCTAGCCTCTGGAGGCCTTAATGAAGAAATTGAGGTCAGCACTATACTTAAAATTTTTGGTCAGAGCCCCCCTTTAAGTTTGTATGTATTTATGTATGATTACCAGTGTTTTATTTATTCTCTTAGCAGTGCTATATTGGGAAGAATATTGTTGCTTACATTTTTAATTTATAATATGTTATGCAGCAAGTTCCTGTCATTCATGTGCATCATAATCATTCTCAGGGTGACCCATTATGGTTAGATAGGGGTTAATGAAGTCAGTTTGATCAATACATAGCAAGTACACAATAGAGCCTCTATTAGTGACTTGTTACATTTTTAGATAAGCATTTCCTGTTTTTTACTTTGCTTAATCGTGTTTAATGGTTCCGCTGAGCATTGTGGTTCTCCACAGCTGCTAGGTATAAACGACAACCCCTTCATGTCCTCATTGGCCTGAGAAAAGAGCAGGAACCCCTGAAACACATGGTCACGCCTACAGGAACATCCCAGTGTGATATTACTTCTGCTCCTGTACCCGTGTGCTCGAGGGTGGTTACCATCACTTCTAGTTTCGCTTCACAGCACTTACCATTCACCATAGAGAGTTGGCGGCTGCTACAAGTGCGGGGATGTAACAGTTGATGTACCAGACATGCGAATGTTATACAGTACACATTGAATTGCCAACTATTTTTTAATAAAGTGGATATCTTTTAATGCTACATGTAGCTGGCGCCCCCCTCCTTTTCGGTTTGCTCATCATTACAAAGGTTGGCTGCGACAAGTGTTGGAAATATTTTTCATCAGTATTGTATAGACTTTCATTTCACTATTATGGACCTATGGTGTCTAATCTCCATGCGTCATTAACCCTTTATTGTTACAAAACAAATATCAGCCTCCTGGTTTACACATACAACGTTGCTGCTCTGGCCTCCCACTTCAGGCCCTTTGTCTCCTCCAAGCTGGCACACACTAGGTGCATGCCTTGCAGCTCCCTGCTGCACTGGCTCGCACCTGTCTCCTAGGTGGCACCCTCCTGACTCCTGGGTGGATACCTTCTCTGTCTACCAAAGTGGAGCCCTGGACCTTTGTCAGGTCTCTAAAAAAAAACATGCACATACCAGCCCAATTAGTAAGCTGGTTGTTCACAAAACCCAAGACTGAAAACTTCAAGATTTGAGATTTTATCCCTCCCAAGTCTCTATGAAGTCTCTAGGCTCCAGGTCTCAAATCTGGGTTTTACCATCTCAGTATTCCTGCCAAATGGTGTAAGTATTGGTGGGCAGGGACTACCATAAGTGGTTTACAGAATGCTGATTCTTAGCTTTAAAAATATGTATATTTCACCCTTACACAGAAGGGTTGATTTACTAAAACTGGTGCACTCCGAACCCATTGCAGCTGTGCATGGTAGTCAGGCAGCTTCTAACTTCAGCTTGTTCACTTAAGCTTTGGCAATAAAACCTGGAAGCTGATTGGTTTCTATGCCGAGCTGCACCAGATTTTGCACTCCCCAGTTTTAGTAAAGGAATCACACAGTCATACTGGTGAGCCTCTTTCCACCTAATGTAGCAGCAAATAGAATAGCAGGCTGCCCAGCAAAGTAACAAATGATCACACAAAACATGACTAAAGTGTAGGAGTGTGTAATCTGAACTCAGACATGGCACACATGACCCAACAAAGCAAAAGAACAAGTGAAAAAAGCAACTTTGAGTGTGAATATCACTGCCAAAATGCCAACATTGGTAAACAAAAAAGCAAATAAATGAAAAAAACAAAAAAAAAAAAAAAAACAAAACCCCACAACATTAAAAAAAGGGGAGGTCACCACACTGAAATAAGGTTGCAGATACTTTATGAAGTTTCTCAACCTTTGTACACTGCTCAACAAAAAAAAATTAAAAGAACACTTTGAAAACACATCAGATCTCAATGGGGAAAAATATTCTGGATATCTATACTGATATGGACTGGATAATGTGTTAGGAATATAAGTATGCCCTATCATTTGATGGAAATGAAAATTATCAACCTACAGAGGACTGAATTCAGACACCCAAAAAATCAAAGTGAAAAAATGATGCAGCAGATTACTCCATTTAGCTGAAATTTCATTGCAGCAACTCAAAATGCTCCTCAGTAGTTTGTATGTCCTCCCACGTGCTTGTATGCATGCCTGACATCGGGGCATACTCCTAATGAGACGACGGATGGTGTCCTGGGGTATTTCCTCCCAGATCTGGACCGGGGCATCACTGAGCTCCTGGACAATCTGAGGTGCAACCTGGTGGCGTCGGATGGATTGAAACAGGATATCCCAGAGGTGTTCTATTGGATTTAGGTCAGGGGAACGTGGGGGCCATTCAATGGTATCAATTCCTTCATCCTCCAGGAACTGCCTGCATACTCTCACCACATGACGTCGGGCCTTGTCGTGCACCAGGAGCAACCCAGGACCCACTGCACCAGCGTAGGGTCTGACAATAGGTCCAAGGATTTTTTATCCCGATACCTAATGGCAGTCAGGGTGCCATTGTTTAGCCTGTAAAGGTCTGTGTGTCCCTCCATGGATGTGCCTCCCCAGACCATCACTGACCCACCACCAAAACGGTCATGCTGAACAATGTTACAGGCACCATAATGTTCTCCACGGCTTCTCCAGACCCTGTCACGTCTGTCACATGTGCTCAGGGTGAACCTGCTCTCATCTGTGAAATAGCACAGGGCGCCAGTGGCGGACCTGCCAATTCTGGTGTTCAATGGCAATCAAGCTCTATGGTGCCAGGCAGTGAGCACAGGGCCCACTAGAGGACATCGGGTCCTCAGGCCACCATCATGAAGTCTGTTTTCTGATTGTTTGGTCAGAGACATTCACAGCAGTGGGCTGCTGGAGGTCATTTTGTAGGACTCTGGAAGTGATCATCCTGTTCCTCCTTGCACAAAGGATCAGATACCAGTCCTGCGGATGGGTTAAGGACCGTCTATGGGTTAAGGACAGTCTACGGACCTGTCCAGCTCTCCTAAGTACCTGCCTGTCTCTTGGAAATCTCCTCCATGCTCTTGAGACTGTGCTGGGAGACACAGTAAACATTTCTGGCAATGGCATGTATTGATGTGCCATCCTGGAAAAGTTGGACTGCCTGTACAACCTCTGTAGGGTCCAGGTATCACCTCATGCTACCAGTAGTGACATTGACCTTAGCCACATACAAAACTAGTGAAAAACAGAAAAGATGAGTAGGGAAAAAACTGTCAGTTGCCTCCACCTGTAAAAGCATTCCTGTTTTGGGGGGCATCCTATTGTTGCCCATCTAGTGCACATGTTGTTAATTTCAAACACCAAAGCAGCTGAAACTGATTAAAGTTTGGATCCACCCAGATGTCTGGACTGACACCTGACTCAAATTCTCAGCGAGCTGCTGAGAGCCTGAGCCAACCGCTCCCTCCCCCTCCACAGCCCAGCGCTGACAGTCACTGCTCTCTGCTCAGAGCAGCAGACAGCACTGAGCATTTAGCAGTGTCCGATAGCTCTACTCTCAACCTTAAAGCGGCAGGAGACAGATGCGGCATCGGATCCACCTAAGTAAGCCGCGGCTCATGCGGCTCTTTACACACTTAAATGCGGCTCTTCTGTGTGCCGGGCGCCCGCTCCCCTCCCTCCTCTCGGCGGCCGCCCCAAAAGTCAGGACTCTAAAACTACGGCCCGGCGGACCTTTTAATCCGGCCCGCGGAGCGCGATCCAAAAAAAAAAAAAAAAAAAAAAAAAAACAGCCAGGGCAGCGCGCTCAAATGCAATGATTGGCCAGTCTCGCTGCCACTCACATCCTGATAGCCAGTGATTGGCTGTCAGGATGCGTGTAGGCGGGGCAGCGTGACGAACGTGAGAGGAGCTAGGCTCCTCTCACAGTCCGCCCTGAAGACCGGAACGGCGCGGGAACACGGCGAGAAGAACGCGCGGAGCAAAGGTAAGTGAATTGACACAGGGGGGACTTGGCTTACTACTTGCTACTTACTTACTACTACTATATGAGGGATGAATTAATATGGGGGATGAATTCCTATAGGGGGGATGAATTACTATAGGGGGGATGAATTACTATAAAAACTTATTGAAACTAAAAACAGTGTACCATCCTATGTATTTTCAGTTTTAAAAATGTGGCTCTCAAAATAAATTTCAATCGTGGCTTTGGCGAGATTTGGCTCAGTGGAAAAAAAAAAAAAAAAAAGGTTGCCCACCACTGACCTAGGCAAATCTAAAAAAAAAAAAAAAAATTCTCATACTTCTCTCTTAACATTTAAAAAGACTATTGTGGTTCATAGAGTACTCTACAATATTTTTGCGATTCTGTTGAGCTGCTCAAAAACAGCTCAATTCTTCCTTCATTTCAACACTCGTGAGGTTTTGGCTGTTTATCAATGAACTTTCTGAGTTAAGAGCAAGCGTTTCTGGCACTGCAAGTATTCATTTTTGCTGGCAAACATCTTTTAACTCTGAATGGCCTGGTTCATACTCCCATCTTCTCACTGAGAAACAGTGAACTGCAAGCGAGTCATGTGAGTGGCCTTAGAAGGTCCCAGAGCAAATTGAAGAGGGTGTCTCATTATTCATCATTCCTCAGAAACACATCTGCCTCTCTATTGCCAGCTTTAAATGAGCAAATTTAAAAAATAAATTTGAGTAAAAGGAAAAAATTAACAGGTACCTGCACACCAACTTCTCCTCGTCCCACCCTCCAGGCAATAGATCCTGATATTCTGCCACCAAGCTCTCCAGGTTTTGGTGTCTTCGGAGACATAAACTCTACAATCTCCACTATCAGTCTCTCGAGGAGTTCTTTCTTCCTGTGTTCTGGTAGGGCCTGCTGCCTCTACAATTTCAAACACAATTATTTCAATTTGATACGAACATTTGGCACGAATGGCATTGTAATCGTTAAATGTCATTGCAGTTTGAATAAATGTATTAATAACAAAGCAAAGAATATGGTCTTAAAAATGAATTTAACATTCTATTATTTAGTCTGATCCACCAAATCTGTAGTTTATTGAAGGTTTAATACTTTCCTGCCCGGCCTATTGTAATATGACGACCGTGCAGGATCCTCATTGATCTGGGAGGATGTCATTTATTTTTTTTCATACATACTGTCACCAGTCGGTGTCCCTGAACACCACCACACGTGAACATCTATTTTAATTTCTTAATTTTCCACAAAAACTGACAAAAAATTACAACTTCAAAAAACTTGCCATGCCTCTTACCAAATACCTCACACTGTCTACTTTCTAAATAAGGTAATTTGGGGGGTATTTGTCCTGGCGGTTTTGGGCCTTAAGAAATTAGATAGGTCAGTACATCAGGATTGATCAATTTTCAGATACATACCATAGTTTGTAGACTTTCCTACCAACTAAATAATAAACATTGATTTGGGTTATTTTTACCAAAGAAATGTAGCAGAATACATTATGGCCTAATTTTTTTAAGAAATACAACTTTGCAAATAAATAATCAACAGAAAATGAAGAAAAGTTCATTTTTTTTCATAATATTGTCTTTTTTAGTTTATAGCACAAAAAATTAAAAACCCAGTGGTGATCAAATACAACCAAAAGAAATCTCTATTGATGTGACCAAAAAAAAGATACAAAATTTCATATAGGTACAGTGTTGCATGACAATACAATTGTCATTCAAAGTGCAACAGTGCTAAAATCTGAAAATTGGCCTGGGCAGGAAGAGGATAAAAGTGCCCAGTACTGAGGTGGTTAAAGAAGAAATGTAACCAGACCTGTCTCTAAAATGATCACAGACCATAAACACTTACTATTTGAAAAATTGAAATCTGTATGGTCTCGTATGGTGTCCACATGTTAAAGTTGAACTTCAGACAGCCGAATGTTAGGCCATGTGTAGGGCGGCCAGGATTGTTGAAGGGGATTGGGGGGGTGGTGGTTAAGCACATTAAGCCAATTAGAGCTCTTTTAATTTGCACCATGCGGTCAGTCTCATATGGTCAACATGCTTACAGAAGTGAGCAGAAGGAATACTTCAAATTGTTGCTGATTCTTCATAGCCTAATCACAGGCTGGGGTGGGTTCACAATCAGGCTGAACAGCTCAAAGTGGTTCTTCATCCTGAAAAAACTTTCCTCCTCCTCCATCCCCAACTCCGCTATATAAATCTCTTCTTTTTTTGTTTGCCTACCTTCTTTTTTTCAATGTACAGGTTTTTGCAGGTGCCTGCAAAATTCAACTTATCTATAAATAATTATTTATGGTAAAGAAGCTAACTTTTTTTAAAAATATATTACCGTCTTGTTTAGAGCAGAAATTGTTTCCCGTAACCAATTTTCTCGAAGCTCTTTCCTCCGCAAGATGACTTCTTCATGTTTACACGAATACCTCCAAGTAACATCAACCACCTGCAATGATCACAGAGCAATCCTTAGACTGTTTTATATCTCTGGGTACAAATCATCTAGAAATTTCTCATAACATATAACTTGAACTGCATCTAATGCATTCTCTATCTTATGTACACATTTCTTTAGTGGTCCAATGGTTACCATGGCAATACTGAGTTCACTCAGTCCTTGATAAGATAGTTCTAGGCATGCTACTGCAGCCATGAGCTTGTTCTGAACCCTCCATACTCTGACTTTTTAATCAATAATTCATGAATAAATAGAAAGTCATTGATGTCTTGATTTAAATAGTGGCATTTCCTTCCCAATGGATTAAAATGTGGATTAAATGTTTTTCTTTGTAATGACAGCAACTGCTTACCATGGCATCAAATACGGTTTTACAAACCTCATCTTTGGAGAATGCAATGATGTAGGACAGCTTCTTTCCCCATCCAACCTCATATAAGAGAGGCTTGTCACAAGCATTTTCACATGGGTCACAATGGAGCCATCTGTTTTGAGATGAAGAGAACACCTCAGTCCAGACATGATCTGCAGGATGTGAAAAATATGAACTTACTGGTATTATTCCACTGGATTTACTTTAGTTTTTTGTCAATGCGTGGCAACCATAACCACAAGTTTACGAAACAGTTAACGTACATTTTTTATTTGTATTTTCATATTATTTGTAGGTATCCTTTGTGAATATGAACACAAATATAGAGGGGGTTTCTCAAATTGGAAGGCAAAAGTGGAAATACATATTAATCCCATAGCACCCACTGGTCCTACACAAGAACCAGCAGAACCTCAATGGTGTGTGCCTATGGCAAAGTATTCCAAAATGTTAGACATCAACTGGTTAACGTAACTGTATTACTACAGATTCTTTGGAAATACTGACTTCTTTCCTTCACAGCATACTATGTTAAAGTTACAGTACTAAGAAATCAAGGGCTTTGTAATACCAGCACTCACCTGTACTATCCCATACATATCTCGCTTCTAGCCCCATTGCCCTGCAGCACAGAGTAAAGCAGTTGGCCCACTCTCCACAGCGACCCTGCCTGGTCTCCAAGAGCTTCTCTGGGTTATTATATCTAAAAATTGGACACACATTAAAAGTATTATTTTAACAAAGCTTAAAGTGAAACTTCACTGTCTTAGTCACCATTGAATTCTTATGTTGCTAGCATTAGTAAATAGATAGGAAAGTACATTTTTTTACATTTCTTCAGTTACTTCCTGGTTTTCATGCCAAGGCAAATAATGTCATACATCCCAGGAGTATTTAGGAGGGGTTTTCTCAGCTAAGAACACCTTCCTGTCTGCCTGCCTAAGCTAAGGGTAGATGGATTCCAGGAAGTCAACATGAATCGTCTGCCCTTACTTAAGACGGCCACTGCCAGAAATGCAAAAGTTTCAAAGTTATTTCTCAGCAAAATAAAGCATGCAGACATGGATGGATAGGGGAATTTGCTTTGGATATTAAAAATTAATTAAATAGTGTTTTGGAATTGTAATGCTCAGATGCAGTGTAGTTCTGCTTTAAAACTTACAAATCCCATCAGGCTATTTAACCATGTTCTAACAGCAGCCAGGTGTCTGATTGCCTTGAAATGGAAAAAAATCATTGCCGCCGTCTTAAGTAAATTTATATAAATGTATTCATGACATTTCTAATATGGAATATCTGACTTCTTGTTTGAATAATACGTTTTGACACTTCAGCAAGATCTGGCGTCCTTGGCATCTTTTGGAACCAAGAAAAATCATGTTCGGGTGCTTTACCCATGTAAGACTCTATAAGGGTGTCACATGGCGTGAAGCATATCGCCTCGTTTCTTCTTTCTTTCTTGTTGCCTTTTTCTTCCTTTAGGGCCGGTTCACACTGCTTTGATCTGAATTGCACAGGAACGTACAGTGTGTTCCTGTGCGATTCGTATGTGGTGCAATTTCAAGTCCATTCATTTGAAAGGGCTGAAATTGCACCACACTAAAAAGGTAATGTATGCACTTTTTTAAACGCATGGCAACTGCATCACATGGGCAAGGGCATTGCAATCGGAATGCGGTGTGGGAAGCCGCATGGGAACGCGGATCTCCTGCACCACATTCTAGTGTGAACAAGCCCTTTTCTTGTTACCAAGGTAGCTCTACCACTGTTCCTACTATGAATCTTGTCCACTATTTTGAGTAATAGCCCACTAGGGGTCAAGGATTTTCTAGACATTATTGTCTGTTATACAGCTGTCATGTATCTGATATGTATATTTAGCCCGATTAACCTATTCTTTTTTGCAACATGCCTGGCCTTATGGAAACCTCTTCTGGGCATTGTTATCCATTGTGTATTGTTTTCTTTGTGCACACACTAGCTAATTCCCACTTTTTGTAGTGGCGTATCATTTTCTTGTCTATGATATACAGTTTCAATTAAAAAAAAAAAAAAAAAAAAAAAAAAAAAAATGGAGTCAGGCTGAATGCTGCTCAGTTACTCACAGGAAGCCTTGTATTTTCTGAATAAATACAAGGCTTCCTCTGATTGGCTAAGGTAGAGATGCAGGCATATAATTACATAGTTAGTCTAGCTGAAAAAGAAAGACAAAAGTCCATCCGGTTCAACCAAAAAGTTATAATCCTATAACCACAGTTGAAGTCCAGAGGAAGGCAAAATACCCCCAGCAAAAGCATGATCCAATTTGCTCCTGCAGAGGAAAAAAATTCCTTGCTGATCCCCTGAGAGGCAATTGGATATTCCCCCTGGATCAACTTTAACTATAACTTTTAGTATCCAGTTATATTATGTATACCTAGGAAAAAAAAAAAAAAAAAAAAAAAAAAATCAGACGATGTCACGATTCCCACCATAACCAGAGGAAGCCTTGTATTCATTTATAAAATACAAAGCTTCCTGTGAATGGCTGAGAAGCACTCAGTCTGACTCAGTTTTGTTCTGGGAGCAGGACAGGTAGTCCCTGTCCTGCTGCAGGAACAGAGCTCTATACTGTATGTAGTTGATGTTACAATGTCTACAGCTCATGCAGCTGCACTGTGTGTTAGTAAAAGAAATAGTTTGTGTGGGCACTACACCCTTGACTTAGGCTTTAAAGAATATGTAGTATAGGGGAGGGTTTCAATAGTCGTTTTAGGCGTTAACTATTCACAACACTCCACTTTTCTCTGCATAGGGTGCCTCACAGTGACCCCCCCTCAATCCCTGTACCGGGTAAAAAATAAGTATTTTGAATGAGGATGACTACACGATAACTACTACTACATAAAAGAAGTGACCTATGCATTACAGTTAGATGTATCACACACAAAAGCAGTGAACCTCACCTAGGAAACCTGTTGATGTGATTACACTTGTTACAGTAATGATTTTCCACCCTTGTTGCCCCCCATCGAAGATCGTCTGTTGATGGGACGAGTGACTCTTTAGTCTCAGTCTGTCCATTACATTGGCTACAGGGCAGGCTGTTCACCCACTGGAAGAAGTCTTCTTTAAACCAGCGTAATAATTCTAACATGAGGAAATCGTCTTCATTGATGGTGGACTCTACAAATAAAACAATTCTTAATTTTGTTTTTGTAGACCAACATGCCTTTAACAGTTTCATGCTAAGAAACAGCAAAACAAACTTTATAATTTTTTTTTATAGATCTATATTGTTATGGAAATGTGCATGTATTACCAGAGTCAAGACTTTTCACTTGCAGCAGTTTTTCTTGAGCTCTTGCTTGCAGTTCTGATACAGGCAACAGGTCCCGAGCTTTTTGTTGAAGTTCGGGTCGCTCATAAACAAGCACGTGATGTGCATTTGACTGTATTGTCTGCAAAAATCGCATCTCAGAAGCCTAGGATTAAAAGAAAGAAAAAAAAAAAAAAAAATTTACTTACTGCATTTACAAAATTTCTAGATTAGGCAAACACAAATTCATTGCAAAACAGGAAAGTCATGACAATTTCACATCAAGTTGCTCCCGTTAAATTCCAGCCAGGTTTTTGTACTGAAGTACTGGTGTCCTGCCTAGTAAAATGCACAGCTGTAAACAGGCATAAAGAAACAAAAAAGCATAATGCTTACACTATAGACACAGACCAACCCAAAACGAGAGCCTCACTGGTCAGTATAGTGATGCCACAATGGATTGGCACATAGCTTGGGGGAAGTAAAGATGAGGATTCCCAAACATACAGTCATGGCCAAAAATATTGGCACCCCTGCATTTCTGTCAGATAATGCACCACTTCGCCCAGAAAATTGATGCAATTACAAATGTTTAGGCATTCTCATGTTTATTTCTTTTGTTTGTAGTGGTAAGACACTAAAAGTGGAGAAACAAAAAGCAAAAAATCTGACATTCCACCTAAACCTCCAAAAATGGACTGGACAAATTTATTGGCACCTTCTCAAAACTGTAAGAAATAACTACATTACAAGTTTGTGATACTCTTGTAATTTGTAAACTCACCTGTTTCAATTAATATGTGTTGACCAGGGGTGGACTTACAACTCATGGGGCCCCCGGGCAATAGGGGATCATGGGGCCCCCGGGCAATAGGGGATCATGGGGCCCCTGTGTCCTTGCTCAACTCAAAAAAGCCTATGAAAAAAGGTACCAGGGGCATCTCATGGGGCCCCCTACTGACCCCGGGCCCTCGGGCAGTGCCCGATTTCCCAAATGGAGCTATAAATGTAGACTTTGCAATACCCTCTAAACTCCTTCAGGGATGTTCAATTTATATCGCCCAACCCCGGGACATGTAGTTCCAGGCGCCTGGCAGGTAGTTTATTTCTCTTTTTTTTTTTTTAACTTCTAGCCCTGCTGCAGAGCTCACCTGTCAGGTGGAAGCCCAATTGCTTTCACACAACCCACTACAGTGCCAGCGTACGCTCCCCCCGCCCGCTCTTGGGCTCCGCTTGCCCATCTGCAGGCCCAAAATCGGTTCAGCAGGTGTCGGCAGGTATAGGGGAGACAGGAGAGCGGACACGTCCGCTCCCCTTCTTGTCCTGACCCAGAAGTAACGTTTTGACATAACTTCCGGGTCCCGATGACAGATTTATCGACCATCGAGGCTGGGAAAGAAACGTAAAATCACATGCTGGGGTGTCTACGCATGAAACATCAATTGCGATACACATATTGCATATCGCCATGCATCCAGAATGAGAGCAATAATTTTAGCACTAGACGACCTCCGTAACACTAAACTGATGACCTATAAGGGGCCTAAAAAGCGTTGCCTATAGAAAATATAGGGTACTAATGTTTGTCGCCATTTCATGAGTGTACGCAAACTTAAAAGGTTTGCCACGTTGGATATCTATTTCCTCAGTGCAACCTCATCTTTTATATTTTACCAAAAAATTGGGTAATTTGATTTTTTTGTGTCCTAAAATTAACTTAAGCATATTTTTTACTGACATTTTATGTTTCCTAGACCTTTGTAGTAATATCCTGTGAGATACAAAATTGGAGCTACCATTATTTTAGTCTCTAGAGTGTCTGCTTTCAGAAATTATATAATGTTGGGGGTTTTGTGTAATCTTCAGTCATAAAATGATTTTTTGAATGTGTGTGCAAAAAAAATGGATAAGCCGAACACTCCCCTTTCCTGACGAGCATCCAATCAGTGCTCATTACACTGAGAGATCTTTTTCCTCCCTGCAAGTTCCTGGGTGCGGTGCTGGAGACAGGCAGGGAGGTAAGCAGGAGATAAACAGCGCAATATTAAAAATATTAAGTCGCCATAAAGCCCCTTTTGTTTTAAAAAGCTCCATATATTCCTAAAAGCACCTCAGATTTAAATACGGTTTTGGATAAATTTGTTTATTTTTTTATCTGGACAAGTAGATTGTCATGAGGGACAAGCAGATTGAGACACTGATTTAGTACCTGGACAATTAATTTTTCCAAAAATGTCCACATCCCTGCTCCTTACCGTGTAGTTGGAGGAAGTCTCTGCTGTGTGCTCGGGACTGTTTGTCAGGCTGGGGTTGGATGGTTGTGGTGTACTTGAAGCAGCTGGTGCAGTTGGCTCTGACCCAGCCATCCTCTTGTTTCTCTCCGACGCTATACAGTCTCTTACCTTACGCAGTTTCTCAACTGATGCCTTTTTGGGAAACACAAGATGTGTCTCCCCCTGCAAAATCCGCAAATATTACAACAGTTACAAGCTGAGATAACAGGGAATAGTTATTTCACTGGTAAAACTATAAAGAAGTAATAAACCCATAACCAAAACAGCTTACTAATATCATTAGATGCGTTGACTGCATTATTATTTTTTTCAGGCTTTATTCCCTCTGTTTTCACCAAGTGATCTGGCCAGTAACACACCTCCTGTATTAGAGTGCCCCCTACTCTGGATGAATGAACACAGGGACACCTTTGGACAGCAGCAGTTAAAGCGATTCTGAAGGTTCATTTGTTTTTGTAAACAAACATGTCTATGCTTACCTACTGTATGCAGTGGTTTTGCACAGACCAGCCCAGATCATCCTCTTCTCAGGTCCCCCGCAAACTCTCCTGGCTTCTCCTTTCTGTCGGGTGCCCCCACAGCAAGCAGCTTGCTGTGGGTGCACCCGCTGCTCCGTGTGTCCATTCACACACAGAGATGCAGCTTGGCCCCGCCCCCTCTCCTCATTGGCTGACTGGCTGTGATTTACAGCAGCGTGAGCTAACGGCTTCTCTCAGCCAATGAGGAGGCAAAGACCCTAGAAAGCCAAGGCAGTCAATCGCATTGCTGGATCGCGATGAGGTTCAGGTAATTATTGAGGGGGCTGGTGGAGCTGCTGCACACAGATGTTTTTTACCTTCATGCATAGAAACCTTCAGTCTTTAGAACCACTTTAAGCTGGGGGGGTAGATGCACTAGCAGACTTAATTACACTAAACAAATAGAAGCAAGACTCCACCTAACACTTCTATAAGCAGTTACAGAAAACGGTTTTTTTTTTTTCTTTATCAGATAAATCTTTTACAGAAACAAAAACTGATCATTTTAAAGCTGTCAGTAGTAAATGGTTTGCCTCACCCCTGTGACCGCTACATCTGCAGAACAGCTTGTTTTGTTGAAAAACAACAAACCTACCAACCAGGAAAGCCTAGAAAAGAACACCAATTCAGCCATCACACCTAAGAACTGGCAAACTGCTATATAATGAAATGTTTGCTTCTGGGTTTAATACCGATTTATTTGGTTAGTTACCTATTGCTATAAGCTTGTGACACTCAAAGACCCCAACACAACGAACCAATAATTTCCTTCATTGAAGAAAGCACATATGGGTTGATTTATAAAACTGAAGAGAGCAAAATATGGTGCAGCTATGCAGGGAAACCAATCCAGCTTCAGATTATTATTTGTACCTGCAATGCCAACGTCTGCTAACATTTTGGTACTGTAGCTCAACCATACAGTAAACCTATCCTGAGAGATAAAGTAGTGCTGATGAACTCCTAAAAATGCTAAGCTGTTATACTGCAGAACAGGGATTCAGAAAAGGAAAGCGTCCTATTTGTATACCTGTTCTGACCCAAAAGAGTCACATGGCAACCAGGTAACTTGAAATTTCAAAGACCGCTCTGCTATGGTAACTTTTATATCTCAGTCACAGGTTCCTTATTAAAAATAAATAAAAACCTCTACTGGAATCACTGTTTTGGCAGTTATTTGCATGTAATGACAAGGGCAGATCAGTCGCATGCTTAATTGGCAATTAGCAATAAGAGGGCTGTGCTTTTACATAATTTCTAGGACACCACAAGTCACAAAGGTATTGGGTTATCAGACCATGGCTTTATAATGAACAGCCTTTGTATGTGATTTTAGGTCTCAAACATTTATACTAGAGCAAATCTTTAAAAAAATTACTTATTAAAAAGCTTTGGAAAAGTACCATCTGAGTATAACCTGTCTTGACAAAAACATATACTCTGCCATTGCGGACCTCTTAAAAATGCTAGCTACCTAGTTGTCATGATAATCCTCTAGCTTCAATACTTTGAATCACTGTATGCAGGTCAGGAAATCCCACCTAATTGACAGCATACTTGTTCTAGATTAATGGTTCACAATTTAAAGTACACCTCTGCGCTGACTATGCACATTAACCACTTGTCCTCCAGAGAATTTACTCCCCTTCCTGACCTGGCCATTTTTTGCGTTACGGCGCTATGTTACTTCGACTGACAATTTGATTTTGAAAAAAAAAAAAACAAAAAACAATATTTTTTACTTTTTGCTATTAAACATGTCTAGTAAAAAAATTTTAAAAATCAAATTTTGTCATAAATTTAGGCCCAACTGTATTCTGCTACGTCTTTGCTAAAAAAAAAAATCCCAATAAGTGTAAATTAATTGGTTTACGTGAAAGTTATAGCGTCTACAAAAATGGCAGTATATATACTGAGATTTTTATTTAATTTTTTCTAGTAATGGCAGCGATCAGAGACTTATAGCGGGATTGCGTCGGGCATTCTTACACTAGGGTGACACCAATACAGTGATCAGTGCTAATAAAAAGCACTGACAATGTACTAATGGTACTAGGCAGGAAGGGGTTAACGTGGGGTAATCAAAGGGTTAACTGTGTGCTGTTTTGCATACTGGGCTGTGTTTGTGCTTCACTGTAAGCACACTGCTTTGCATGGCTGTGCTATGCACAGCTATGCAAAGCAGTGTGCCGGAGCTGACAGGGGAGCAAACTATTTTGTTTACAAACAGTTCTCCCCTCCGTCGGAGATGCTCGGCAATCACCAGATGCCGGCGAGTAATCACCAGCCAGTACCCGGTGATTGACAGCCTAGGCCGCGAATGGTTGGCATGGGTAGGGCGTTTG